AGAAGTAATCTCTGAAGATTCAGGGAGCTCTCTGCTGCTGTGCTAAGAACAGATCCTTTAGATTCGTGGGTTGTTCCCATTAGATGTGTACATTTAATATTTGGTTAAGATTAGTAAAAAGGGAGATGAAAGAATGTAAGTTAGTTCCCTTTAGAAAAAACCTGTGAGATGATGGAGCCCTCTGAATAGGGGTCATAGGTCAGTGAAACTGCTGATAAGAATGCATTAAGGCAGGCATGATTTGTAGAAATTGGAAGATGAAGACTTAAAATTCAGAGTTATGGTTAGGACAGATCCAAAGATTTTAAGGTTATGATCCCTGCAGCCATCAGTTATCTTTAGGCACCCAACTATTAATAAAATGACAGTGTGATGTCATTGTCCACGAAGAATAATTCATCTTTCAAATGCCATTTCTAATGGTTAAGTGCTAATGCCTTGATTACTGTCAGAGTCATTTAAATTTTCTATAAGGTTATCAAAGGTTTCGTGACTGTTAACTCCCCGCATAACTAAAATACAGCCAACCTTAGGCCCAGATTACAGACAGGGATGCATTTACAACAGTCACTTCTGCTGTACTGTGGTTGTTGGGAGAAGGCAGGAGGAGATCTGTCTGATAAAATAAGTGGGAATTGGAGGGGAGAAATGTCTAAAGGCAGCAATGGGGATCCTGTGGAGGAGGAATGAAGCCAGGAATAAAAGAAAGGGGAATTCCTGGGGAAGGGAGCTCTGCACTGCTGGCTGCTGGCTGGCAGGCCTGAGGCAAGCCCTTGGGTGAAGGGAGAAAATTTGTGCCCTGAAGAGGTGAAAGAGTATAGCATTTGAAATTGGAAAACATGATATTTTGACCTTAATCCAAACTATTAACCCTTCTGGGCCTTAGGTTTTACATCTGTAAATTAAAAATGCTAGTCCTTGCCTATCTGAGGGGATGGGATTATTGTAAGGCTCAGATGTGGTCATGGACACTGTAAAGAGTTGTGGAATTGTTATCTGTTACCTGGTTATGTGAGCCAGGGGTCTGCACCTGGACTCATTAAAAAAAAAAAAAAAAATGCTAGATATGAACTGCCACGGAATTACTAGTCTTTTCCAGTAGTAACAAAAATAGAATTCACCGATCCATCATAAGGGGTAAATGTTTTCAGGACAAACTGTAAACTGAAATAGTTTTAAGGTAGAGTACTGTCTGGTACTCCTCAGCTGAGGGGCAGTCTTCACACAGAATTGCACTGACATTTTTAGAGTAAACTGAGATGCAGCAGTTCTTGTAGTTCAGGAATCCATGTTTAAACCCCAGGTAGTTCTAGCTCTAGAGATGGCAGTCCAACAGTGGCTTTAGATGTGTGTTTGGGACACAGGAAGGCGCTTTAGGCGGAGCTTGAGGAACAGAGGAAATACCGCATAGCTCCTCGCCCGGCTCCACTGCGTTTTCTTCATGGCTGTCCCGTCTGTCACTCTCTTGTTTACTGTGGTTTCCCCCAGTGCCTCCGCTCCCCTCCCCCAAACTCCTACCTCAATAGAATGCAAATTCCGTAAGTCAGGGGCTTCTTTTTGCCTGTTTTGTTCTCTGTCAAGAGTAATTCCTAGTACATAATAGGCATTCAAATGTTTATAAAAGGAATGAGTACTGGATTTCATTGCTGTATTGAAATAAATGTGTAGAAACAGGCCCGTGAGCAATAGGTAGAAGGAGGCAGGTCTGCACCTGGCAGGAGAGGAGCACCTGCTGCTCTGCGAAGAGTGACTGGTGGGCTGTCACTGTCTGGTTTTCTGGACCTCTGAATTGTCAGTAGGCATTGCTGGTCCCTTACCTGTCTCTTTGTCTTTTTTAACCCTAGCAATAACATCGAAGATGATGCAGTTCTCAAAACCAACAAGCACATTTACTCCCAACTTTTGAGAGCAACTGCAAATAAAACTGCGACTCTTCTGGAAAGAATCAACGTTATCGTCCACCTGCTGGGCCAGCTTGCCGCCGGCAGTGCAGCGAGCAGCAGCGCCGTTCAGTGACTGCACAGAGCCGTGTCCCAGACACGCTGTCAGTGCCTTCAACACGGAGCCGGTTTGTTCATTCGGTGCTTTGTTTCATTAAATAATAGGGAAATATCCATTTAAAACAGGTATATCAGTGGAAACACAGAGTTATTTTAAGTGACAGACAAATTACGGTTGAGTTCTGTGGCTTCTTCACTTGAAGTGCTAACATCAGAATCAAACTTAAAGCTTCCACTATTTGTTTCTTTAAGAAGTACATAGTACCTCAATATTCACAGACTTGCTGTGATGCAGCTACACTTTCCTATTTTTGAAGTATGTCAAGCTACATGGTCTAAGATATGGTTATTTTGGATAAAATGTTACTTTGGTCAAGAGAACTTTTATCCAAATGACATTACAGGTTCAAGTGGGTTAAGGAGACTTCCTGTGCATCTACAGTGTTTCCTTTTAAATTGCCCAGGAAAAAGGTGTGTTCTTCATAAGCTTCAGTGCAGGATTTTTCAAAGACTAGCTGTTGTGCAATTGCTGTATTTAATGCATGTTCTGAAAGGATTCACTTTTGACTTTATATGACAGTCGATCAAGAGCAGGTACTACCCCTTGTTTTCATTTTAAACTTGAAACTGTGAATAAGGTAAGAAAACTATTTTGAATAAATAAACTATTTATTTAAAATGTCTTTGTATTTTTCCAATTTTCATTCTTCACATTGAGTTTTGAGTTGAACTCAGTCTAAAATTAATAAACTTTACAAAGCAAAGCTCAAAACATTAAAAGTAAAATTCTGCTGTCCACTAAATTCTCCCTAGAATATTTTACTTACTGCTGCTGCTACATGGCTCTTGTCCAGTTACACACAAACATCCCCTGTTATTTGTAATGGCTATAGTGCACAAGGCTGTTTTTGTTCATAATTCATACTTTCAATTTCAAAGCAGTGTAACAGATAAAACAGGCTCTTTCAAGGTGAGGTGAATGTCTGGACTCCTGTGCATGACACCATTGTGGGTAGGTCTGCTGCCTAGGCCTGGGGGCAGGTGCACTGGAGATTCAGCCAGCTCCCTGTAGGCCCTCCACGGTGGCCAGAAGCCCCTCCCACACCAGCCAGACCTCTGAAGGAATTCCAACTATACTAGAAAATTGTTTGGAATAACTGGTTTTAAGCCAAATTTTTACAGAGCTATGATGTAAAAGAGACTTCTTTCTCTTTTACAGAGATTTTCAGGTGTTTTCATTGGCTGAGATTTGTTTGTTTGTTTTGAGACAGGGTCTCACTGTCACCCAGGCTGGAGTGCAGTGGCACAATCTCGGCTCACTGCAATCTCTGCCTCCCAGGCTTAAGGGATCCTCCCACCTCAGCCTCCCAAGTAGCTGTGACTACAGGTGTGCACCACCATGCCTGGCTAATTTTTTGTATTTTCAGTAGAAATAGCATTTTGCCATGGTTGCCCAAGCTGGTCTCAAACTCCTGAGCTCAAGGGATCCACCTGCCTCGGCCTCCAAAAGTGCTGGGGTTACAGGTGTGAGCCATCACACCCAGCCCATTGACAGTGAGTTAACATCCATCATAGCTTAGCAGAATTCTCTCCTGCCATTTGTCCACTTAGTTGTTTACCTAGTTTGCATTTTTCTTGGAACAGATATGTATCAGTTTGCACAAATTAATCACTGAAACATTTAAAGTTTTGCCTGAATTCTAAATTAAAGCAGTTGTACAAATTCAGCAATGTTTCATTTCAAGACCAGTGTCATTCTGTTTCCCCTTGTAGCAAGTGTACACACATAATAAAACTGTCTTCGCCCTGCTAGATAAATGTAGACACTTCTGTGGATTATGATCAAAGATGATATACCATCTTTTGGGTTAGTGAATTCAAAAGCATGTTCCCGCTCAGGCAGGACTGAGCTGGGGTCAGGGGCCTGAGAGGTGCTGATCTTTCCTCCCACCCCCTCCTTGGCTGAAACAAGCTTTCAGTCAACAGGAGAATTTGTTCTTAAGCAAGAATAAATTCTAGTTATCTTCCTTTGTCAGAGCAATAACATGAAAGTTCCTACGGGGGGAATAAAGATCCTTATAAAATATATTTGTAATTTGCTGTTTTTAACTTAAAATTTCCTAAAGTACCTGTGTTTCCGCTCTTCCTTTGGAAGAAGAATTTGGTATCTGTGGCTTGATCATGGAGGCTACTGAACCCATTTCAGTTAATTTCAGATTTTGTTCACATCATTACAAATGACATTGGGTTTTCGTTTGGGTTAAGAGTTAATAGCCATAGTATGTAAAAGTTGAAGGGATATACTGCCTATCCTAGATATAGCTGATACTGGAAAAATAAAATTATCCAGCTAGCTTCAAGAGTCTCCTTTTGGTGGTCTGGTCTTTAGAACCTAAGTGAACTGTCATATAAAGTGGTAGGAGAGAACACTAAATGAATTACAGTGAACCAGCAAAGCTGTTCTGTTCAGGACCATTTGGGTTGCAGGCCTGTGTGTTCAGACAAGAGGGTGCAACTCATTTCAGAGCCCAAGACCACCACAGTGACACAGAGGAAGTGCAGAGGGCCCTGGGCTGGGATTTGGAGATGAGGGCCCAGAGCTACCGTTGGGTTTGACTTTTGGCAGGATACAACAGATGAACTTTGGCTAATGTGACTGGAAATGTGTACAGTAGCATCCATCCTGCCACGCTGACAGAGCTGTGAAGATCAAGAGAGAAATAAACGTGAAAACCTTTTGTACACTGTCTTTAGAGAAATGTCATTCTGACAGGGACTATGGAGGACAATCCATTGGAATCCCATGACTTTCCCATTACATCCCTCAGTAAAATCATCTCCGTGCCATCTCCTTCCTTCATAGCTTGACCCAGGGCTCTGGCCACCCTTCCAACTCCCATTAATCAGGTGGGCAAACAGTTGGGATGGGCGGAGCCCCACAGAGTAGGAAGCAGGCAAAGATCATTGGATACTTAGTTTTTGGGTTTGTTTGTTTTTTCTAACCTTTCTAGGTTATGAATTATGTTTTCCCTGAGCAATTGATTTTTAAATCAAGTATTTTAAAAGTTCAACTAAGGCTTTTCCCATTGGGTTTTAACTTACAGTGCCATATTTGCTTTAGCTACTGAAAATCTGGTTTTCTTTGTAAACAACATCAGAATTTTTCTCTTAGCGAAGTCCTATGACTCCATTTCCCACTTTTTCTTATTACATGTTCAGTGTGGAGATATGGACATCACAAACATCAAACCACTTCTCTGAAATCAGCTTCTTAGGAAATAAGCCATTAACAGGAAGCCAGGAATTCTGTTGTTTGTCCTTGTCATTAACTACCTTCCAGTATGCATTGCCTTTGAAAAAGAAAATGGAGTTGTATGCGTAGGAGTAATAAGCGGAATCTATATTTCTGAAAGGATGGTTTTGTGGTATTATTGCTGGAAAAACTTCAGTAATCTTCTTTGGATAAGAATTAAGTACTCGATTTCTGTTGACATCAAATGCAAATACCTGCAAAGCAAATAAGATAGACTGGCTCTTCTGAAAATCATTAATATTTTTAGGTTAATTTATAACAACGAGACAAGACTTTGTACCAAATTCTTTAGACTTGAACTTCTTAATTTTCCATCATGCTCTGCCATCGCTATTTAGATCTGAAGTGAGTACAAGTTTTTTGGGTTTTTTCTGTGCCCAGTCTCATCTTGCCCAGATGGACTGGAGTGCAGTGGTGCAATCACAGCTCACTGCAGCCTCGACCTCCCAGGCTCAAGTGATCCTCTCGTCTCAGCCTCCTAGGCAGCTGGGAGCACAGGCATGTGCCACCACACCTGGATAATTTCTGTATTTTTTGTTGAGACCGAAACATGGGTTTCACCATGTTGTCCAGACTGGTCTCAAACTCCTGGACTTGAGCAATCTGCCCACCTTGGCCTCCCAAAGTGCTGGGATTACAGGTATGTGCCACTGTGGCAGGCCAAGTACAGCTTTTAAATACAAACTTGACCGTGTGACCAATCTCTATGAGGGATGACAGAAGCATTGCTAGGCTGAAGAGCCTTCTACTTACAAGGGACTCCTTGAAGAAGTAAATTAACTTCTGTCTTCGGTCATAAAAGGCTGTGTCTAGGGGACTTGGGATGCCAGGAAATCCTTCTGAAATCAATTTGGGATAGCTTTTTCCTTGTTCATCTTCTGTAAGGGCCTGATCCTTGTCACTGTCATATCTCCAGTATTGATTTCCTGAGAGCCAAACAAAATACGTGCATATGGTTTATTACTATTAAATCATGTGACAAAGCGGACAGTTTTAATCTAGGTCTCAGCCAATCCTGTACAATGTGTTGCCATGATTCTAGGAGAAAGCAGGGCTTTCGGCGTCTGAGTGAAGCCTCCACTTCGCGATTTCCCAGGTCTTGAATTAGTCCTACATTTAACCCAGGAAGTGCATTTTTCTTGACCGTCACTGCTGCAGTTGGAATGTTGGTTGCCTTTCACAGCAAAAGGAAACCCCGCCCCATGAACGTCATCCTCCCGGCCCTCATCAAAAGCAAAAACGAAACAGCAAAAATCCTGTCTTTTTTACCTTCGTATCTTAATGTTTTTTTCTTCTTCCTTTACAGTCTTAAGATGTTCCTTTTAATGTTAGTGGCCCAAGGCTTGGAATCACTTTCCTATCCTAATCAATATAAGCCCTCTTGTTACTGAAGAAATCATGATCCTTAACGATTGGATTATACCTTGAGTGTTTGAGAGTCCTCTAGTCCCCCCACCACGCTCACCTTACAAATAAGGACACTGGAGTAGAGAGCTGAAGTGACTTGTCCACATTCAGACCGCCTAGGCTGAGCCAGGAATGCAAGCCAGGACTCTCAAATTCCACTCCGGAGAGGCTGCCCACTGTCCTACGAAATGGAACTTCGCTCCATTTTGTTTCAGAGTTCGAACGCTCGTTTCGTGCTCTAAATCAGTAGGAGTTTATTTTAGCCTCTTCTTGTTGGTTCCTAATCCTGAATATTTGGTATCTTGCCAACGGAATAGACTAAATCCACTCAGATAATTTGGTGTTCACAGCTCACAGAACACCCCAAGCGGTACGTTCCTTAGCAACCAAATATTTAATACACTTGGAAAAGTTCACTATTGAGAACAATGCGACATATGTCCAGTTAGAGATGCAGTTCACTCTAACAGGAATTTCTTTTAATCCAAAATATTCATAGCAAATTAAGATGTCTTTAAAGCTCCAAGAATAAAATACAGCTGTATTGTAGTAGTTATCCTATGATGACCTAAATCTGTAATTAAGATTCTTTGAGTGTTGCCAACATAAATTCTACTTTGGAACTTCTTAAAACCCTGAAAGATGGGCTTCTAACTCTGAAAGACCTGAACTAAAAAAAAGGCAGCTGTAAGGCAATTTCTTTATGTACTGAACTAATTCTTCCTTTGTGTGATATGAAGGAAAACTGAGACCAAATTTATATACAGGATCCTTATGGTAAAATTTGCATATAAAGTTCATTCCGTTTGGCTCTTGCCTTGTTAAGTCTTTTTGAGCAATTGAAAGCCCTATGGTTATATTACCAGGATTCAGGCAGAGGGGCTATACAACTTGTCTCTGGGTAGGAAAGGGGAAGGAAAAAGCAGTGACCACAAAATCATGTTTATGATCGGACTCTGTGCTGTCTGGTTTTGCAAAGGCAGCGTGCCTCGTGCACCGGGCCCAGGGTACTGGATGAGACCGGGTGTGAGTAAGGAGCAGCGGTAGTAAGACTCCCAGACCTGCCTTTCTTTGTGTGTTCCCCACGACCCCCCCAGGCTCCACCACATCAGTTTCTGTCTTCCAGCAAAACACTGACCTTCCCTGTTGAGCAATCGCCATTGATGGCTCATGGCCTGCTCAGCAAAGTCCAGCCCTGGCCCTGGCATTTGAGGCCCTCTGTGGTTGGACCAACCTGCCTTTCTAGCCTGACCTCATCCCGGGTAAGTCTGTCGCCAGCTTTGATGGACCCCAGTCTCACAGCTCTGCGGCTTTTTCACTCCCAGCCCCACGGCTTTGCTTCTGCTGCTTGTCTCTGACCATTTCCACGCCCTCATCCACTCTCCATTCTGGGTGCCTTTTTCTGGGCATCCCAGATCCCACCCATCCTTGAGTCTAGACCAAGACCTGATTCCTGGGGGCGCCAGCACCCAATTCCAGGTGGCAGTGGTCACCTCTTCTGCTCGGTCTGCCCCTTGAAAACACTTCTGTTGCTAGATGTCCAAGGTATTTGTTTTTCCCACCAGAACCAGATTAAAACTGCAGGGCAGGGCCCTTTCTTACAGTTTTCTGGCAGCCACCTTAGCACCTAGCAGAGTTCATTCACTCATTCGGTAACTTAGTGCCGTCTTAAGAAGATCAGGGGCTGGGTGCGGTGGTTCACCCCTGTAATCCCAACACTTTGAGAGGCCAAGGTGGAAAGATGGCTTGAAGCCAGGAGTTCAAGACTAGCCTGGGCAACACAGTGAGACTCCATCTCTACAAAAAAAAAAAAATTATTTTAATTAAGCCAAGTGTAGTAGTGTGTGCCTGTGGTCCCAGCTACTCAGGAGGCTGAGGTGGGAACAGCACTTGAGCCCAGGAGGTCGAGGCTGTAGTGAGCCATGATTGTGCACTCCAGCCTGGGTAACAGTGAAACTCTGTCTCAGAAACAAACAAACAAAAAACCAGAATAGAACCTAATCCTTGTGCCCTCAGAGCTTCCAGTCTGATGGAGCAGATAAAAATTAAGCAAGTAATGACGAGAGCATTACAACAGATTCCTTGGTAGCAGCTCAAGACATTCCTTCTGAGTGCATTCATTTAACAAGGGAAATTGAACCATTCATGAAGAATCTGTACCTCGAAAAAAATAACGTTCATCTCTTTTCCATGTCCAGATGTGAACAAAGGCATCTATGTTGTATGTTGGGATTCCATGCCAGCCAGTGAGGATTTCGATAGGGTCCCCATAGCGTGTCCTATTGTTTCGATTTTCATAAAGCCAGTACCAGCTGTTGCGGAAGAAATATGTGCTAAATCTCACCATCACCTCTCCATATTGGTTTCTCTCTTTGCGAATCCAGTCAAATGCAGTATCGAATGATCCTTCACAGGAGCCTTAAAAAAAAGTCACTTGTCACATGGTACAGAAACATATTTTCATGTGTGACTTGAATGAAGACAGTTGCAAAGCTGGGGCTTTCTATAAAAACACCTTAAAGTAAGACACCGTGTAAGACTGAAGTGAGGCCAGGTGCAGTGGCGCATGCCTGTAATCCCAGCACCTTGGGAGACCGAGGCAAGATTGGTTAGTTCAAGATCAGCCTGGGCAACATGGTGAAACCCAGTGTCTACAAAAAAAAAATACACACACACACACACACACACACACATATATACACACACAAAAAAATAGCTGGGTATGGTGGCACGTGCCTGTGGTCCCTTGGCACAGGCTACTTGGGAGGCTGAGGTGGGAGGACTGCTTGAGCCTGAGAAGTTGAGGCTGCAGTGAGCTGAGATCAGTCCACTATACTCCAGCCTGGGCAATACAGTGAGACCCTATCTTGGAAAAAAAAAAAAGAAAGTTGAGGTGGTGAGCAGAGGGAGCTGGAGGTGCCAAGCTGCCTGCTACAGTCCTGGTTCACAGGCACATTGTGGCTTCATTCTTTACAGTGTCCCAGGCCCCTCTCAGAAGCATCTCAATTTGGATGCAAAGTTATGTACGGTTGACCACCCTAAATATAGCTAGTGAATGCCTCCCTTGACGCCTTGACGGCAGTTTGACTTCATTAGCGGGAAGAAGTTTGATTCTGGGCTCATGTAAGAGTAAGGTTTCCACTGGGGCAAGTCCGTGTGTCCTGCCTGTTATTGTCTCCAAAGAAACACAGTGCTGAGAACGGGGGGATGTGAGAACAGAAATGGGCTGGTCTCTGTTAGGGACTTTTTTTTTTCAAGACAGAGTCTCCCTCTGTCACCTAGGCTAGAGTGCAGTGGTGCAATCTTGGCTCACTGCAACCTCTGCCTCATGAGTTAAAGCAATTCTCCTGCTTCAGCCTCCCAAGTAGCTGGGATAACGGGCGTGTGCCACCGCGTCCGGCTAAGTTTTGTATTTATGGTAGAGACAGGGTTTCAACATGTTGGCCAGGCTGGTCTCGAACTTTTGACATCAAGGATCCGCCCACCTTGGCCTCCCAAAGTGCTGGGATTACAGGCGTGAACCACTGTGCCCAGCCTAAGGACCTCTGAATGGAAAAGAGGAGGACAGCTTTATTCCCTTGGGCCTCGGTGTTAAATCACTAACCACTTTAATCAACCACTAGAACGTTTGGCCTAAACGATTTTAAATAGAGATTAGAGCTTATCGTGGCCAGGCTAAACTCCGTTTTTTTGGGATTGCAGTAAACTCCCAGGGCTTCCAGTGTGTGCGTCTCTGGTGGGATGCCATAGCACGGGTTGGGGGGGTGGCCCGCTTGTGTTGAGAAAAATACCACGTTCACTGTCCTCCCAGGAAATGCATGTGGCATGTGGAAGACAGGACACAGGAGGGACTGGCTGTCAACTGGGCAGAACCACTTTTAACTGAGAGAATGGCATCAGGGAGCTAGAGGACGGCTACCCTTGGGTGACATGAGTTGTACAACGTTGTGCTCTTGGGCCCAGGTTCCCGGTGAGGAGTGAGCGGGGTCCTGCTGTGCGCTGGAATACAGTGTCCTCCCGCGAGCTCAGGGTGCCCTCCCCAGCAGTCTTACCATACAGCTTTTGAATTGCTTTCCTGTCCGACCAGTCCAACTCGAAGGCAGGTTCCTGGGGGATGTAATTTGGTTGCATTATGGATCCCGTCCTGTAGGTGTGAGGCAAGCCCAGGACATGGCCAATTTCATGGACGGCCACCTAGAAGGGGACACACACCATGGGCACTAGGTGAAGCCTGGACGATGGATCCCTGCGTAACAGACGCAGGCCTGTGTTTCGAGAGAAGCGGTGCTTGTGAAGAGGGGAGCACCAGTGGAACTGGGGAGCCGTCGTCAGACACAGATTTACCTCCTCAGAGGATGCAGACGCTACATGGGAAAAGCTTGGACTTGTTGGACGTCGGCCCATGAGCACTGCTGGTGTCTTATCAACAC